GGGAGTGAAAAGAGGAAATAGACGGTTGAGAAAGACGATTCTCCAAATGGGTACCTAAGACTTTTGGGCACGGCATACTTCGCGGTTTCCCACACCGACGAAGAGGTTTTTCTTTGGGAACCCTAACCGGAGTCTTCGACTCATAAGTCTAACCCACAAGGTAGTGGGGCGTAAATCCAACGTGGGAGCGTGAACGAAACACCCATGTGGGAGCTTCTAGAGACCTGTTACGTAAGACCCTCGGTCTTCGGTTTAGTGTGTTGTTCGTTGGTCCGCTTTTCGGGATCCGCCCTTAGTCTCGTGCCCTCAATGAGACAAGCGGAACGTGGACGGGACAGCACATTATTGGCTGGGGGCTGCCCAGCTTGAGCGGGCGGTAGCTGTCCAATGAAGTGCGAAGACTTCTCCACCATCGAGAGGAAGTTCCAGGTACCTCGCTCCTACGTCCATCTAACGGGATTTTTTGACCGGCAAACTGTCCCTCACCGTGTTTATTTACTGGAGTGACCTCTCCAGGGGCGGGTGAAGGTAGGAAAGGAAGCCAGGAGGTTCGGAAGCACCTGGCCTGGCCTCAACCCCTTGATCTTTCAGACATGATTGGATCTGCAGCTGAGAAACCATCCTGTATAGCTCGAAGGGTCATTGAGGCGCGCAAGCCATCACACCACGCCAAGGTGCAATCTCGTCGTGAGATTCTTGTATGAACAGGAAAAGCTTTGTCATTTCTAGTATATTAATGATAAATTGGTCAGTTTCATTAGCAAAGCATTTCACACATTTAAAGATCTGAACATATCAGTAATATATGCGTTGCATTGACATTGTACCTCGAGTAATTTTTCACAAGGTTTGGTATCTCGACCATACCGTCAAACTATTTCCCATAAATACTCAGATTCCACTTCGCACATAATAAAGTAACAAACGGTTAAGTTTTTGTTAAGTTGATGACAAATTTTCCGTTAGATTTATGTCCTCGAGTTCAAAGTGAGATAAAATATCCCCTTGAATAGTGGAGCGCTTTTCTGGTTTTTCAGTGTGAGTGATCTACAGTGTCCGAGTGCAGTATCTGTCTATTGAGAACTAATTAGACTGTTTTCGTCGGTCGTGCTATGCGGAGCTGGAATGTAATCACCACTTAATTGCCGTGCAAAGGTACCATCGCAACTTGAAGTGCTTATATCTGCATACCCATTTACAAGTTTTATGGTATAACCCTATTGCCAGCGGTGATTACTGGTCCGTTGGCATTGGGTCTCCTTCTACGGTCATTGGTTTAGACTATCGGGTGGAAATCATTGTAGCATACTACTTATTCGAGTAGGTGGTGAGTCTCATGACTTGTTTCAAGCGTTGATGAAAGTTTTCCTTTAATCACAAACTTTGACGTGATGAAGGGTAAGAAGGAATAATTCCACAGCCACCATATTCTTGTGTTCCAATAATTAAAGCCCCTGAACCCAAATAAAACTGCAACAGAAGAAGCACACTGTTTAGCGGGTTGACGTTTGGACTATCTGCCATTTTACTTGAGATCCATCTACTCCGCCAAACTCACATTCGCAGGCATTAGGCATCGTGCGTGTGTGCGGTAACCCTGGTTTGGATGCAGTTTTCTCATGAACGTTATTTTCTTTTCCTCTCTGGTTTCGATATCTCCTGAACGAACTGCCGGAGGTTAGACTAACTGAAAGGGAAATTTTATTTTGAACTTAGTTGTTCCAACCGAGGAAATTCCTACATGCCGATTGTTCCCATTGTTGTGCGTTTATTTTGTACATAGTCTTTACTGACAATGCTTTATGCTGTGACCATTTTGCTGATTGTGGTTTTACTTGTTAAGTGCGCATTCCGATCACTGTCCTGCTGTGCCTATTTTTTTGCCACCGAAAAACCTTCACTTCATATTCGGTGCACTTCCGCCAGTTTTATGCCTATAACATTTTCTCTGATATATGCAGATGAAGTGAATTTCGTATCATCTCCAAATTTCATCTGGGCGTTACTCATCAAATCCCGTTTCATTTTTTGTTTCTTTTCGGAGCTGTCTCAAATTTGGCGGGCACTACTTTTTCTCAGGGAATTCCTTTCCTGAGACGCATAATTCCCTCTTGACGAAAACAGAAAAATGCATATGAAGACTGCGTATATGCCGCTTTGTGCACAACTCAACCACATCAATTCAACTCACCATCTCTGATCCCGTTTCATCAATACTCTTGATAAAGCATGAAATCATTTCTTTCACTGCTGGTTTCCGTCAGCGTTTTCGACACACGCATTACTATTCCTTTTCGATAATAAGGTTTTCCATTCGAG